ACCCTAGGCGGCTACGGCAAGATGCAAAAAGAAGCTTGCGGCGAAAATGGACAGTCGGGGCGACACTCGGGGGAGCCTGGGTGATGCCGTACAACCTCCGCGACACTGAAGCAAGACAGGCCAGGGACAACTACGCGGGGAGTGTCGGGCGGCTATTCCAAGAAGGCAATGGCCAAGACGCCGTCGAACCGAGCCAGCAGACTCAGGGCGGCGCGCTATGCACTGTCTGTACAGAAGAGCTACACGGCGACGCGTTGCACCGCCTCCCCTGCCACCCAGACACATGCATCCGCTGCCTGCTGAGGACATACACCCACCAAAACGGACACCGCTGCCCACAATGCCACGCTCAATTCGCCTTCGAGGTGCTTGAGGGGGCCGGAGGAGATGAAGGGACCCTCCCGCTTCGCGCCCACATTATCGAGCACGTGGATCGCAACGCCGAGGGCCGACGCAGCCGACGAGTACGACGCTGGCGAAGCAGTAGAGGACGTGCTCATGCTGCCAGGCACCAACACACTGCTGCTCGAGCTGCCCCAACTCAATCGCAACCTAGAGCTCGGCATCGAGGAGCCCCCACTGCCAGGCAGCATGGCGGAGATGGAGGAGGCGATGGCGAACAACCCGGAGCTCTACGGCCCAGCACGACAGGAGGAGCAAGACGACGAGTGGCGACCTTCGACAGAGCCGTCCCAGCAGCCCAGCGAGAACACGGAGCAGGCGGGGGGGAGGGCGTGGGTCGACGTGGTCAATACCAGGAGGGAGGCGGCTACACCGGCGGCGAGCGGGTCGTCGAATGGAGCGGCAGAGGCAGCACAACCGAGGAGGCAAAACAACAACACCCGCCCGAGGACCAGCAGCACGGGGTCCCGCGCCAATATGTCTCTCGCAACACGACGACAGGGGCGGCAGCATGGCAGAAGACAACGGCAAATATACCTCCCGAGAGGCTTCCAGCTCCCCAGATCGGTGGCTCGGCGACCTCAGCGCACCAGGGGCGGACAACCAGCCATGCGGTCGCCCAACTCGTTTCAAGCGCTGGAGACCATCGACGAAGAGGAGGGAGACACAGACGAGACCGCCACACAACAGCCCCAGCAGCGCAGCGGACGGGAGTGGCGGCCCGTCAGCCGACCAGCCGCCCCGCCAGAAGCAACCGCTTCCACTGAGCAGCCCGCCACCCAGCCACCCGCACCACCAGGGCCTACCAGAGGCGTCCGGCGGCCCGCCAGCCAACCAGCCGCCCGGCCAGAAGCCGCCGCACCCACCCAACAGTCCGCCGCCCACCCCGACACATCACCGAGGACCGGCAGGAGCGTCTGGCGACCCGTGAGCCGGCAACGCGCCCCACAGCCCGCCTCAAGCAGCGTGCAGGAAGCGCCTGAGGGCGAGTGCGAGTACATAGAGGGAGACTATCAATAAGGGGAGGGGCAGGAGGACCAGGGCGAGAGCCAAGAGGAGCGGAGCGGCTCACAGCAAGAAAACCTCCTATCGGAATGGAACCCACACTCAATGCACCCTCGTGCTTCTCACTCAGGTATGCACCCTCGTGCTTCTCACTCAGGTATGCACCCTCGTGCTTCTCACTCAGGTATGCACCCTCGTGCTTCTCACTCAGGTATGCACCCTCGTGCTTCTCACTCAGGTATG